TTAGTTACTCTTCTTCTTCCCAACTTCATAACAGAATCTTTAGTTTCTTATCTGCGTTGCTATACAATCTTCATTCTCCTTCTCAATGCCACGCACCTTTCTCCTTGTTGCACTTTCCAGATTTCTTCAACTTTCTTGTTGCTGTTCTTCATTTTATTCTGGGTAAATGTTTCCAGTCGTTTACGCTTGCTTGCCATTGTTTTTGTGATGTCAGCTGTACAACCAAAGAGAATTAAAAATGTCAGAATCAAGGAAAAATATTACAAGAGAAATAACTCTTAAATTCTGAAGATTCCCGGCCAATCCTAAGAACAGAGTGCAATCCAACAAGAAACGGATTAGTTCTTGTCTTGTTAGTGAATAGCAAAAACAAACATTATTTTTTTCTATATCTGTCTATATTTGTTTAAAAGCAATGGTTGAAATAATCCACAAAGTGATTTGACCCAAAGAGTAATGAGTTCACTACCTGGCCACAGTAGAGGTGAAACAAAATCTTGGAGAGTTGAGTCAATAAACGTAATTAACCGATACTGAGAGATGTAAAAAAGGCATTTAAGCAATCTACCCCTGTGGACTAAATAAAGGGTTATTTCAAAATTCTAATATATATCAGCTGAAGACTCTCCCAGTAAAGGCAGGCAAAATCTGAACTTCACATATTTACTGAGAATCTGCAGGCGACTGAAGAGAGAGGGAAGGAGATGAATCAAACTTTACAGGTAGCCAGTATTCCAGTTACCATCATTCTTTGACACAAGATTCACATGCCCTGTTCTTTTGCTTTATAAAAGGCACACACTTGATTTGGCACTTTATGATTTTCAAGAAAAGATTCACATTTCTCCAGACCATAGAGTTTTTATCAAGTTTATTTTTCTATTGTCATTAGAAGTAAATTCAACTCAAACAATTTCTTCCCTGATCACTACAATTTTAATTTGTTCACATCTAGGGTTAACCTGTTACATTCCTTTCTTACCCATACAAACTGCTTCATAACATAACCCTCTACCTCAAGTGGCTCCCGGGCCTTGTACAGAGTGAACCTTACTGTCAAAAAGAAAAAAAAGGATTTCAATTGATGATTGATTATTCTGTTTTAATGACATATCAAATCTATTGGTTATTTAATGCCAAGAAGATTTTTATTTTTTAAATATATGGCTTGTAAACAATCCTTTCGGTCAATGACTTTGTCACTCCCAAACTATGGTGTAGAACCAAGTTATTTTGTACTATAATTTGTGGCATAGACTAAAATCTTTCAAGTAAAATCAAACAGTATCTATTTTTATCCTCTTGAAAAGGTCCTCTAGACTAGTCATGTCATAAAAACGTTGACATATAGGGCAAGGTCACTACAATTGGTTAGAATATGTTTACACTATTTCACCAACATGTTTTGTATTTAGGAGAATTGTTTACTTTTAAGTAGGAATGAATAGATGTGTCCTATTCTGATTCTTGATAGGTTAAAACACACCTTCACTATCAAGAATCAAAATAAGACAAACATTTTAATTGTAAAAGGGGTCCAATTGCAATAATTTTGAGAACTGGCTATCTTGAGATGACAAAGTGAATTTTATCTTCATTTCAGCTAAGAGTATGTCTGCAACATTTTTTTAAAATAATCTATTTTGGAAAATAAATGATTATTTTCCTTCCCTTAAAAAAAACAAAATTACTTTTGGTTAGACCCTTTGGAAAATGAAAAATTGTTTCAATAAAAATCAAAAAGGAAAAAATACCTTCAAAAGATTCCAACAATTTCTTCATCTCAGATCTACAAAATAAAAAAAAAAAAAACCTTTCTGGCACAGAGAAACATTTTCAATTTTCTTTATTTCTGAAATCGGGTTCTTAACAAAAACTAGAAATTAAAATTAAATTCTTTCTTATAACAAAAAGCAATAATATAGTACCATATGTCTAAAAAGAATCTTTTTCAGAGACATAGATATTTATAGTTTAAAAATCTCCGCTAAGAAATGTCTTTAACAATGCGATTAGATAACAAAACTAAAAACTATGATGACAAACTTTTATAGTGATTTAATAAGCAAAGCTTAGATGTGGCACAAGGCCTAATGTATAGAGCACCTAGTGAGAATCAAATTAAGTACTCAGTACTAATTGATATGGCAAGATAAGCTTGTTAATCATTACACTATGTTGAAGTGCTCAACAAACATTTATTTGACGTTAGAAATTAGCAAGGTATTTCATGAGTTTTAATCTAGTACAAAGCCATGTTTTTGTGAGGTTTCAAGTATGAATGAAATTAATAGCATGTGGAAGAGAAAATGCAGGTAGAAAGAAAAGTACAAACTGATAGATTGGTAGAAAGAGACAAACTAATTATCTGAAGCAGAATTAAAATGAAAATATTGACTATCAAAGAATTGGAAAGAAACCAACCCAAATTCTTCTTCTTTGACATCTCCATCATGTTCACGCTTTTTACCTCCTCGTGATAGAACTGGGGTTTCATCTCCTGGAATCATGAAATAAAAGAAAAACCTCTTGACAAAATAAAAAAAAATAAAAAAAATCAAGTTTCGCACTAAAAGGAAATGAAAACATTCTTAGAAAATAACAGAAGCATTCACTACAGTAATCTTAATGTTCAAAATGGCCAATTATGGTTTGGTTTGTTTTACGGCATATCAACCTCAATGGGTTATTTAATACCAACAAGATTTTTTAGAATAGGTTCATATCAATAGAATATGTATTCTTTGTAAGAAATCAGTTTGTAGATCAGGTTTCAGTGATGTATTTTTGTAAAGAGGGTTTTTACCAAGAGTATTGCCAGTTATTTTTTTTTTTTCCAAAAATGTACTGCTGGTAATTTTACTATAAAAACCTATTTTCACACTTTCATGGTGAATAGTGTGTGTGTTAACTATTTGTCCATAGCTGCGATCCTTACAGGTGCTACAACCCCAGGTCAGGGTGGACCTGAGAACAACATTAATTAAGAGATAGTTCCATACTCCTCAAAAACTCCTGATCAGAGGCCTTGCTGCCAGATGTAGTTTATCATCATACCCAGGACAGTTCCAATTATTTCAAGATGCATGTAGACTTGTTGGATTTAATGATACCAAATTCGGCAATTCACTGATTCTCTTTATGAAACAAGAGAGGAGTATGAAAGAACTATTAATTGGGGAGGGGATTAAATAAATGTTTTAGATGATGTGGAAGGAAACTACAACTACTAACTGCATAAATTTTCCTCTTAAAAAAGGCTTGTGGCCATATCACATTGAAACACTGGTTCTCGTGTGATAACCAAAGCCTGGTCAGTACCTAGATGGGTGAACACCTGGGAATATCAGGATGCTGTAAACTAAGATGTGCAGGTGATATAATGAATAATGGCTCTGAATTGGCAGAGTGCTGAGTTCCAATTCCAGTCAGGTTTGTTACATTTACCTACACACAAATACCCTTCGTAAAGGTGTGAATTCACTTCTCCCTCAGGTATGGGTTAATTAGTAGAACTTATATGAGTAAATGATTATTATCTCCAAAAAATTCTTGCAAACTAAAAATATTTTCTGGCTTTAAATAACCTGAAAAAGGTTGATAAGCCATAAAAAACAAAAAATCAATAATTCCTCTTGAAAAAAAATATCAGTGGCCATCACTCTAGTTCTGGTCTAAATTTATGTTTATTTTTGAGTGCCAACATTTTATTTTTGAGTGCCAACATTTTATTCAATAAATGTCCACACATTATTCAGATACCCAATATTGGTCCAACCAATCAGATTTAGTTTCTTATATTTTTCTCATTTTTCCTTATTAAATAGTCTCAAGGTATTTCATTGGTCCAAAATAGGAAACACTTTTTCAAAGTGATATAAATGTTTAGAAAAAGAGTTCACAATCTTTTACTCAAAGATCTCATTGCCATAATTCCATCTGGCATTCCTTTCTTACCATTTCTAGGAAGAGTTTGGCATTCAGTTTTTCTGTTTTCCACCAAACCTAAAAAAATATTTCTTTAAAATGAGAATTAAAAAAGCAATCACCTGATAAAACATTTACATATTACTTAGACAAAGTGGAAAAAGTTTTTTGTGACACACTTTGTTCACTATGACTTCAGAGTAAATTTGTTATGTTGGTATGACTAAACAGGCGCACGAATAAGGAATGAAGGGAATTTTTAATTTAATTTTTTTTCTAACTAATTTCATTTAGATTCTTTTTCTTTTCAAAAAGAAAAAGAATTTAAATGAAATTGATTAGATTAAAAAAAAAATAAATTCACAGCATCTCTCATTCATGTGCATGTGTAGCCACACCAACATAACAAATTTACTCCGATGAAGTCCTAAAGGACAAACCATGTCACAAGAAAACTTTTTCCACTTTGTCATACATTTTTCCCCAATATTGTTCTTGATATATTAAAACATATAAAATATATATCATTATATCTTATATCATTCAGAAAATGAATATCTTTTGAAAACTGTGCATCTAATGCTAGAAATTAGCAAGAATTACCTCATTTTAAAAAGACATCATATGATAAAATCAGCATTCATTTTAAGCAAGAAATTTATTTTTCAACATAATCTCCTCCTTTTTCAATGCACATAATCTGTTCCCCGCCACATGTGAATCATGTGCATCTTCTGGAATGTTGTGTAATGTCTGATTGGCACTGGGCAATGGACGTGCTTAATTTGCAACACTCAATTTTTTTTTAAAATGAGGACTTTTCATTCTTATTGTGAAACTGATTTGTTCAGATGTATATCTTTATTTTGGTTGTTATCATCACAAGTTTTGGCCATTGTAATCTTCTGTCCTTATGGGGATAATAACCAAGATTAGAATACTAATTTAAGCAAATCAGTGTACGATAATTTAAGAAAAAAAAAAGTATCATCTTCCGTATTGATGAAAACTTGTCTAACATGAACAGTACTTTACTAATTCAACTACAAAAGCTCATCAGTAGTCGGAATTCAAATTTAGTCATATAGCTAAATTTGAATTTTGCCTGCTACATTATTCTATAATTGATTTACTCCATTTTATATTGTTTGTTTACAAGAATTAAGAGACATAACAGGTTTAAATTGTCCACACTTCATTTTTAATTAGACTTTTCTTCCAGGATGGGTTGGAAAAAAAAAATCTAACAAAAGTAAGATTAAAGAGAAACTCAAAAAATGTGGTAAATCCTGACCTCTGACATTGCTTTTCTTTGGGATTTTCAATGTATAAGATACCTAAGCATAGCATAGTGGTTATTGGTGTGCTGACTTCAAATTCCAGTCAAGTTTGTTGCTTTCACTTTTGTACAAATACACTTGGGAAAGGTATGACACCATCCATTTCTAGCCTTGGTTGTCACCAGTCTAGAACAACTGAATTCCAAATGCATAGGTGGTAGGCATTATTCCAATGAGTTTTTTTTTAAATATTAAATAGTTAACTCCATGATGAGAGCTCAATGTATAAATTTATATACAGAGCAATATAAATAAGGATAAGACTTAATTAGTCATCATATGATCAGATATAAATTTATTTCAACAGTGTGCATATATATATATACCTTGGTAACTATCGACACAAATATTTCCTATTGAGACAACTTAATTCCCATTATTATAATAAAATAATAAAAGTGTAGTGTAATAAACCTTATAAATATGTTGTATGATTGTACAAGAACAATAAAATCCATATTCAGCAAGAGAGAAATTAAAAACCATTATCACATAAGATTGCATTTGAGAACAGTGAAGGGTCATTCCACTAGGTTAGGAATTTTCACTTAAAATTTTCAGGATTTTCTAATGACTATGAGATCTCCAACATATATCAAAATGAAAAAAATCTATTTTTGGGGATCATATTGATTGGTTGAACTGACAAGGAATGATCCCAGAATGAATGGACGATTATTGGGGGTCAAATAATTCAGGCTACCGTAATAGCCTACCAAAAACACAGCACCTATATATGAGGTATTGTAGAGTGTGGTAGTTAATTGACATCTCCCCACCGTTTTTTTTTCATTAGAATTTGAGTGAAAAGAAAGCATATGCTTACCAAATTTATTAAAAATATGATTGGAGGGGGGAGTCGTCTTGTAAGGTGAATATAACCCAGAACCTCCATTTTAATGTGGAAATTTATGGGTTGTCTTATATGCCAAGTCACCTTGTATGCCAGCATATACGGCATTATTCAGTTCTCATCATTTTTTTTATTAATTCTTGTTTGTATGAACTGTAATTATCTCTGATAAAATAAATTGAAAATTCTATTTATTCTTTTTATGGAAAATTATTTTAAATATTATTTGATAAATTATTCAGGCTAATCCGTGTTTTTCATTTTTATCTAAAAGTGAGTCTGCAACTTGCAATATGACAATACTTGAGACATTGAAAACACTATTAGAAATGTCTCTTTATCTGAAGTTTAAATTTATGTCTACAGGATATAATTATTTCTAGGCAATGTATATTTGCCTCATACAAAATGTTCAAAATTTTACCAACTGTTACTTTTAGGGAAAAAAAAACAAAAAACAAACAAACAATAATTATTGGTAGAGAACCCGAAAAATTAATAGCAACAACAGTGGAGATCAATCTGTCAACTAAAAAAATATCAGTTTGTATCAGCAACAAAACGTGTCCTCCATATTATGAAAAAATATCTGTGTTTATGTGTTAATTACTATAACACATCAAAAAGAGCTCATCATAGCAAAATTTCTGTTAGCTCATTTCAATGCTCTTCAAGAATAAATCAATTTCCAGTTAAATCAGGGTGCCAGTTTCCAAGTAATTTTTCTCATTTCTTTGAGAAATAATCAAAAAAGAATCTTTAATTTGTCTGCACTCTACTCTATATCAGCAACAGTGAAATACCATTGGTAACATTTTAATCATAATCCATATCCTATTATAAACGTGCTTGTCCCTGTCAATACCTCATAAATAATGGACTGTTCCATTTTGATCGTGCAAGAAAAAGGGGAAAAACACTACTTGGTTTCAGTAAGAAGATGAATGAAAGAAAGAAAGAAGAGTTTAATGGCTGTTTCAGTGAAATGGAAAAAGTTGTCAATTTCAAATCTTTTCATTTGTACCCCCTTATTTCTTAAAATAACAACCAGCATTCATAGTTATGATTGTTATTTCGTTAAAGTTATTAACTTTGAATATTTAACGATGTGACAGGAATTTCTACAGATATTTTATTGTCATAGAACTTGCTATGAGCTTTCTCAATCAACTTAAGAAGATTCATCAGAAAATTCAAATAGGAAAACTGTGACATTTCATGGCATAAAACTAGTTAATAATAATTAAGCTTAATGATAACCAGGATTTGCAATACAAATTCTATAAATAGTGACTTGACATTGAGTGGAGACAGCCAACTGTGCAATTTAAGGAAATTTTTACAAAAAGATGCTTTATATATTTCTAATTATTTAATACG